AAAGGGAATTTCATCAGCCACTGATGCCTCTGGATTCTCCAGGCTCCGCTCTCACCAGCTTCACATAAAGATATTTAGGATCCTCATAAAGAGGTATTTAGGATGGACAGGAGAACCCAGGAGAGGCAACAAATCCTCATTCCATGGGGAAAGCTTCCCACTGAGATATTTGGGGCCTTCCCACGGAGATACTTGGGGTCTGGAAAGACAGGATGGGCAGCTCTAACTGGGACAGCACCTCCTGGCTGGTACCACAGGAAAAAGCAACTCCAGGGTGACATTTTTGCTTTGACTTCTCCCTTTCTCAGCCTCTTTGGCTTCAGAAACACAGTGATGGAGAGGTAATAGAGAGATAAGAAACAGAGAGATGGGAAATAAAGAGATGAGAAATAAAGACAGATATTAGGATGGTTCCAGGTCATTTCAAGCTGCTTTTATGATAATTTCTCCTCTCTGGTGCTGCTGGAGCAGGAGCTGGGCTCATTAGGGTTGATTCAGGCTCTGTGTGGGTGTCCTGTCACCAATACTGGGGACCCTGCTTCCAGAAGAAGCCTTGTGCAACAAAAACCAAGTTCAAATCAATGCCAAAATCCATTTGTTGCATCGATTTAGCTCAACAGATGAACACCCTTCCTCTGGCCGATCTGTAATTTAAATTTGCTTTTAAGTAGCAAGTTAATAAATTTGGCTGCCCTCAAACTGCCTGGTGATGGTGTTCAGGGTCATCTGGACACGTCACACTGAATTTTCTTCTGTGGAAGCCTTTGCTGACACATTCACCCGGCACTCAAACTGGTTCTGCTGCCTTTAAACTCCTCTAATTCCATCTCTTATCACACTCAGCCACATCAGTTTGACTCAGGGTTTTAATTCTTCCTGCTCTGTTTGAAACACCCCAGTCAGAGCTAGAAAATACCTCCCAAATGTACTCGTTTTTCCACTTCCCTTTCCTCTGGCAAGCGTCTTTTTTCATTCCCTGCCTCTTTCCTGGAGCTGGAATTATATCCCTGCCCTTTTCCCTGCCTAAGGAGAGCCACAGCGAGGAGCAGACAGTGCCAGACAAATGTCCCTGGGTCACTGCCTGATGAAAGCTCTGCTCCAGGAAATCCTGGGAATGTCTGAACCACAGCCAGGAGCCTGCCAGGGGGTGGGGGAAGTTGAGCTGGCACCCCTCAGATCCAGGTGGGACCTCAATCCCAAATCCTCTGACTCTGAATTTGCCATCTCTTCAGAACAACGAGAAGTTTTATTGTTTCATATTATTCATTTTTTTCAGCTTGTGAATACTTTGCTTGAGAAATAAACAATTTTTGCCCATTTTTCTCCAAGATTTTCTCCCAAACCAAAAATAGTCTGCTGCTAAAATCTGCATTTTAAAACTCATCCTTTCAGGAAGTTTCCTCCCAAATTTTGTCTCAAACCAGGACACCTGTTCAGCAGCACCCTGGGGCTTGGATGGCCATGCAGGGATATTTTAACCATCCCAAGGGCTCCTCAGGAGAAGATTCCAGCAGCTCTGGCTCATCCACGCCCAGGGAAGCCTGACCTCACAGCAGGGCTGATTAATCGGTGTCATTAATGACAACAATTACATCAGCAGGGTTAGTTATGGAAACAAAGGCTCCCATCCTTTGGGATGTTCCCCCAGAGCAATTTGGGGAGTTTTTTTTGGAGCTGCAGCCAGGCCCAGCCTCTGTCACTTGTTCCTGCTCTTCCCTTATTCCCCCAGGAATATTCCTGGAGTGCATTTCCAGCCTGGGTGAGCGACGATGTCACAGAGCCACGGAATGGGTTGGGCTTTGGGACCTCAAAAATCCTCCAGGGCCACCTCCCACTATCCCAGCTTGCTCTGAGCCCCATCAATCCAGCTTTGGACACTTCCAGGCTCTTCCATCCCTGCGAATTTCCAAGGTTGGACACAGCCACAGCTTCTCTAGGCTTCATTTTTTTAAAGAATAAATCAAGGAATCACAAAATGCTTTGGGTGGGAAGGGACCTTAAAAACCACCTGGTTCCAACCCCAAAATGATCAAATTTATTCATCTAAGCTGTTCCTTAAAGGGTCAGGACAGCAATGAGTCTTTTCCTGCAGCACTCCAGACCAGCAGCTTCCCTGACAGAGCGGGACAAGCCAAAAGGTGTTCCTAGATTTCCCAAACTCCTCGTGGAGATAAAAGCCACATTATCTACTGGGGCTGCACTCAGATGTGCAAGAACAGGTCCTTCCAGGTCATTAAATTGTTTACTGGAATTGCAGACACGCCTCTACAAGATGCCTGGCAGAAATCAGCTTTATCTGCCAAGGTGGAGGTGAGACACATTTAAATCATGGAATTTGAATGATAAAAAAAGACAATTTTTCTTGTAGGAACTAGGATTTATAAAGTGGGAAGCACTGAGGGTGTTCTGGTGTTCTGAGGATGGATTTGACACGGAGTTGGAGGTGATTGTTAATTATTAGGATGTGTTTAATCCGGTGTTTGTTCATCCTGGGTAATTTCTTTTTTTGGATTTCTTTCCTGCCTGTGTGTGGCAAACAGAAGACAATTTGACTGTTTCAAAGGCAATCTTCCATGAAGAAGAATAAACCAGCTGGAAAACATGGCACAAGCCTTCTCTGGGAAGTGCAGAGGGCCCTGTGGATGCAGCAGGAAAAGGAGGGTGATTCCTACACTGGGATGAGAAATCTGGATTAAATTTTTGCCTCTTCCACAAAGTTTCCTACAGCAAAGGACTTAAATTTTTTCTGAGTCTCTGCTGAGAACGTGGAGCTTTCTCTCACCTCATTTTTATATCTATTTGAGTACATGTTGGTATATTTTATTTCTTTAGAGTTGTAATATTTTAGGGCTATGCTGTGTTCTGTGGGAGAAGTCCTGTCCCTTACACACATCCAGATTCTCTTGCATTCCCAACAAATAATTACAACAAAAGAACTAATTAAAGACCTGGAAGGAAGGAAAATACAAGAAGAAGCTAAACCCTGCAGCCTTTGAGAAAGCCTGAATATTTCAACTTGGTTCTTCTTTTTTTCCTTCTAACGTCAGGATTTCTCAATATTTGAGGTGCAATGTCTGAATAATTCAAGAGGGTTCTTTTTTTTCCTTCTAATGTCAGGATTTCTCAATATTTGAGGTGTTCACAGTTTAAATATTCCCCTGCTGCACATATTCTGGCCCTCCTGAAATATCCAAGCTTGTTTCTCCAGCCTAATCTCTTGTTCTCCCTCTAACAGTCAGACTGTGTCTGGCCATGGGGGAAATAGTTCATAATTCCAGGCTTAAATAAGTGGCTTTTGATAAAGGTCCAAGAGAGTGCTCTGAGAGCTGTTTTGTTTTTATGGACGGAGCAGACAGAGCAGAATGATGTTGCCTGCATGCTAAGAAACTTGGCCCCGAGCCCACACACACACCACGGGCAAAATAAATAAATAAACACATCAATCAATGCTGACGTCACCAGGAAAAGGGTCACTGCCATGTGGGACGAGACATCTGGACAGTGAAGTCACAGCTCTGGCCGGGTGCCACCGAGCAGCTCACATGCTCTGCGGCACAATGGGACGGAACGACAGGCAAAAAAATATAAAGGTGCGGGGGGGAAAGGTGGATAAATCCTAATTGATGCTAAGTGAGCAGAGGATTAAAGCAAGGGTTTCCTACCTAACTTTTCCCTGATGGAAAAGTGCCATGATTGCAGCAGCAGCCTGGGCAAGACAAAGCTGTCATCTCACCTGACACTGCCCATCACCTGTCAGCACCGGGAAGAGCAGGATTTCCCTGCAGAATTCCAATTAAACCACGTGCAGGAGGACTCTTCCCACATCTCCACCCGCAGCAGTAAAGGAGGGGCACTCGCCCAGGTGCTTGTGTTACCCACAGCTCTCCACAACCACGAAATGACAATCAGTCAGCCCAGCCTCAGCCACAGACCACTGCAGCCCTTCTGGATGGAGCCTGCACCCCAAGAAATCGTTTTAAAACGCTCTTCCAAAAAAATGCAAGCTGACTTTTGGGGTTTTTTTGTTTTGTTTTTTTTTTTAAATAAACGAAAAGATTCCGAGAAGGAACAAGACGAAATATCTGCAGGAAGCAGAGACCCCCCCCCGCGCCAACTCCTTCCCCTGCACACACACAGCCCAAGCTGCTCCTGCAGGCTTTTGTCTGTGTTTCGCTCACGCAGACACAGCGCTGAGGCGGCGGGGATCGCTCCCCGTGCAAGCTCCGCTCTTCCCTCAGTAGCAGCAGCACATCCGAGCCCATCCGGACCCGCAGCCAGGATGCTCCTGGCACAATGGAGCATCAGCGCCCGGAGCGTGGCGGCTCCTTCCCCTCCAGCCCCGGGCATTTCTGCAGCGGCCTGATGGGGATGCAGGCACAGCCAAACCGGAGCCTTTGTTGTCACAGCCCAGATTCCTTCAAGACCGCTAAAAAAATCCACCCTCCAAGAGATGGGAATGTGAGCGCATGGAAAATTAGTGTATTCCTCGGCCGCGGCTCTGCGGGCGGTTCCGATCAGCGCAGAGCCCCGCGGGGTGATGCCCGCTCGCCCTGCTCCCAACGGGATCCGGCGCTGGCGAGCCCTACAAATCCCCAATTTTTCATCTGCCGAGCGTCCGAACGGAGCGGGGGAGGGTGGGATGCGGGAGGGATGGGGAGAAGGAAGGGATGCGGCGTTCAGGAGGGTGGGAGCACGGGAGGGATGCGGGATACGGCAGGGATGGGGGCCACGGAAGGGAGGGAGGCGAGGAACGGGAAGGAGGGATGCGGGACGGATGCGGGCACGGCAAGGTAACGCCTGCGGCTGGAGGCATCCCCGGCTGCCGGCTGAGAGCGCTGGGCCCCGGCTCCGGCCCGTCCGCGGGCCCGGGGGTGCGGGGCCGGTCCCTCTGCTGGGGCGCGGCCCCGCGGTGCGCGGCCCGGCGGGGCCCTGCCTTTCCTCCCGTTCCCCCCGCACCACCCCGAGCCATTCCCGGAGCGGCCCCGCCGCCCTGCGCTTACCGGAACCGGGGCGAGTCCTTGATGCACTCCTCGAACTCCACCGTCATCCTGCCGGCTCGGCCGCGCTGCGCTCAGCGGAGGAAGCGCATCGCCCGCCGGCTCCGAGACGCGCGGGCAGCGCCCGCCCCCCGCCCGCCCGCGGCACCGGCCCGCCTCCCGGCACCGGCACAGAACCGGGACAGCCCCGGCACCGGCACAGAACCGGGACAGCCCCGGCAGCGACCTTGCCTTCCCGACACCGGCACAGAACCGGGTACTTCCCTGCCGCGGCACGGTTACAGAACCGGGAATAGCACCGGGTACGGCACGGCACCGGCCCGCCTCCAGCGGCCCCGGCACGGCACCGACACAGAACGGAGCCGCCTCCCGCAGTACCGGGTACAGCCCCCGGTACAGCCCTGACACGGCTTCGATCCGCCTCCCGCAGCACCCGCACGGCACCGGTAACTGCACAGCCCCGCCTCCTGCAGAACCACGTACAGAACTGGACCGCCTCCGGCACAGAGGACACAGCACGGACACAGCCAGGACACAGCTCGGACACAGCACAGACACAGCTCGGACACAGCCAGGACACAGCCAGGACACAGCTCGGACACAGCTCGGACACAGCCAGGACACAGC